TATATATATATATATATATATCCTCAGGTGAGGATTAAAATAAAGAAAAAAGGTAGTGTGCCATAGCTTAACATCATACTTAATGATGAAAGACTAGTTTTTTTTTCTCTCCTAAAGTCAAAAATAAGACAAGAAAGTCCATTTTCATCACTTCTATTCAACATTGTAGAAGAGATTCTAGAAAGGGCAATTAGGCAAAAAGATAAAATGCATCCAGATTGGAAAAGGAAGAAGTAAAACTATCTCTATTCATAGATGAGAAAATCCTAAAGAATCCACTAAAAACTGTTAGAATTAATAAATGAGTTCAGCAAAGTTGGGGGTACAAAATCAATATACAACAAGAAAGTCCATTTTCATCACTTCTATTCAACATTGCAGAAGAGATTCTAGAAAGGGCAATTAGGCAAAAAATAAAATGCATCCAGATTGGAAAAGGACGAAGTAAAACTATCTCTATTCACAGATGAGAAAATCCTAAAGAATCCACTAAAAACTATTAGAATTAATAAATGAGTTCAGCAAAGTTGGTGGTACAAAATCAATATACAAAAATCAATTATATTTCTATATGTTAGCAATAAATAATCCAAAATTGAAATTAAGAAAATAATAACATTTGCAATAAAATAATTATAAACAAATTTAACAAAAGATGTGCTGGAACAACTAAATACCCACATGCAAAAAAAAATATTTTTTGGACCCCTAACTTACCTCAAACACAAAACTAACTCAAAATGGATCATAGACCTAAATCTAAGAGCTAACACTATAAAACTTGTAGAAGAAAACCTAGATGTGTAGCTCTATGATACTAGATTAGGCACTGGTTTTTTAGATATGACACAAAAAACACAAGTGACAAAAGGAAAAATAGGTAAACTATATTACAAAACATTATGCTTCAAATTACATCATCAACAAAATTTGTTAAGCCCATAGGAAGAGAGAAAATATTTATAAATCATATTATCTGACAAAGGGCTGGTGTCCAGATTATGTAAGTAACTCTTTCAACCATAAATAAACAACAACAAAAAAGACAATTATCCAGTTGAAAGGATAAAATGGGCTAAAGATTGGAATAGATATTTTCCCAAAGAAAACATACAAGTGGCCAATAAGCACATGAAAAGATGGTTAACATCATTAGTAATTAGGAAAATGATAATTAAAACCACAATGAAATACCACTGCACACAACTAAGATAAAATAAAAAGACAACAAGTGTTGGTGAGGATGTGGAGAAACTGGAGCCCTCATGCATTGCTGGTTAGAATGTAAAATGGAGCAGTCACTTTGGAAATTGATATGGCCGTTCTTCAAAATGTTAAACATAGAGTTACCATATGACCCAGTATTTCCACTCTTATATATATATCCAAGAGAAATGAAAACATACATCCACAAATATGTATAGCAGCATTATTTATAATAGCTCCCAAAGTGGAAGCCATCCAAATGTCCATCAACTGATGAATATCTAAACACAATGAAATACATCCAAAATTCAGAACATTACTTGGCAATAAAAAAAAAGAAGTACTGATATAGCTACAACATGGATGAATCATGAACACATTTTGCTAAGTGAAAGAAGCTAAATACTACATTTTGCATGGTTCCATTTATAATATGAAAGTCCAGAATAGGCAAATCTATAGAAGCAGAAAATAGAGTAGTTGCTTCCCAGGGCTTGGTAACTATTGGATCTAGGGTTTCTTTGGGGAAAGATAAAAATATTTTAAACTTAAACTGTGGCAATGACTGCACAAATCTGTGAATGTACAAAAAACCATGAATTGTATACTTTAAATGGGTGAATTTTATGCTCTGAGAATTAAATCTCAATAAAGTTGTTTTTAAAAAAATGAATTTGATATTTTTAAAATAAAATTAAAAAAGCAATGGGCCTTGGAGATCAAGCAGAGCTGATTTTGATTACCAGCTCCCCCACAACTAGCTATGTGATCTTCAGCAAGTTCCTAGTCCACTCTGGACCTCAATAAATGGTAGATTTTATCATTCAAAAGGAAAGAAAGTAATAAGAGGTGGGAATATGCAGCCTGAGGATTACAATGAAGGCAGAGCCAAGGTAATCCTCTGGGATGAAAGAAGCCCATCGAAGTTTGCCTGCTAGACTTTGATTCTTAGTCTCTCTCTATTCCCCAGAGGAAGGTACCTTTCCTAAATATCACACACATGATGGTGCCCCCAGGGCCATGTCATGTAGTGAATATTGACCACAATTCTTCCCGTAGGCAAGAGCAGTATCCCTCCCATCAGGCCGCACAATGTGTTCCTCCCTCCCTCATCTCCCATCTTTGGCTAGATTTACAACAAAAACAGAAACATTTACACTATTAACAGAACTGGGGGAATATAGAAGGATGCTAACAATCAAATTCCAGCCCATTTTAATCTTACACTGCTCATTTGGGAAAGTCATCCCCACCTCCACCCTGTCCTGGTGTCTATAAAGCATTAGATGCTTTGAGCTTTGCATTCTCAACAGTGTAATGAAAATAGATGTTGAATGCTAAAACATAAACATATGTATCATTCATAATGCATTCAGATGTTTTTCAATTATTCATGGTTCCTGAGAGTTACTTGACCTATCAGGCATATATATCCAAGCAATGTTTGTATTAGAACCACAGCCTCAATGTACGCTATCCCAGCTCCTTGGCATTCCCGTCTATGGAATTAAAATTAAATGAGTCAGTGGTCAATAAAAGTTACATGTGATTTCCATAAAATTATCCATTGTATATTGCTCTGGGGTGGAGAAAGTAGTTTGCGTGGAGTTGCCGAAGCTGACAGGACACAGAATGCTTGCTTTCGGATGAGGGGGTGGTGATAATTACTCTTTCTTAAGAATGAATTCATTATTTCCCTGAATAACTGGTGGTCCTGGACTTAACTTGCTGTCAAGGAAAAAAAATATCTCAAAGGGCCACCCTCTTTCTGTTCAAAGTCCTATTTTCTTTAAAATAAAATTTAAAAAGCTAGTGTTCTGGGCTCAAAAACAACACATTCTTCTGTTTTGATGCTTGAATAAATTTGCATGTTAACATGAATAGTTTCAACTTAAAGAATGTCAAATTAAATACAAATTGAATTCAAATCCAAGATGGAGAAAAGATATGCACAAAACAACAGATTTTCAATCTTGTCGATTTTTTTTCAGGAACCAGATTAGAAAAGACATAAACACACACACACACACACACACACACACACACACACACACACACACACACACTTGGTTTCAAAGAAGGGTGGCACTCAGAGGAGACAGGCACTGCCAAAGTGGAGCCCCCGCATTGTACCCCTACCTCACACACACCAGGAGTATTTACAGATCACAGCACAAATTCTAAAGTTCTGTTTCAATGTCTGAATGCCACTATAAAACTCAGAAATACAACTCAGAAGTGATGGTCACCATTACATTCCTACTTTTGGAGGCCTACCCAGGTAAGATGAAATATAAGGAACATTATTATATATGAGTAGCTCAAGCAAATGCAGGCATGAATTTTCCTCTGTTGGCCCTAAGAGCCATTTCTTGCTTTATCCTGTGACTTCCTCATTGCACTTAAAGACAGTATGTAAAGTGTTAGATGTACATACTGTTGGCAATAGATCTGGGTTGAAATCCCAGATCCCCTCATTTACTTGCCAGGTGACCTTTGGCAAATGACTTAATCTGTGGACTTAATTTTTTCCATTAGTTTTCATTTACATACAATAGTGCCAGCCTCATAAATTTATTGTGAGAATAAAATAATATAAGGCGCTTAGTACAGTGCCTTGCCTAGCGCAAGCAAGCATTCTATAAAGGTTAGCTGTCATTGCTGGTTGGTATGGTGGTGGTGGTGATTATTATTATATATTTAGGTGATGGAGTCCAGAGGAACCAGGCCTGACAACATTTTCTTTCTTCTCCAACATGCTCTCTAATATTGTCCAGATACTATCCAGGAAAGAGAGACAAATCAAGTCATGGCAAAAGCCTGCTACCCATGAGCTCTGAATGCAGGACAATCAGAGATGTCATGCTCTTATTCCATCCTGTCTCGCCTCTGTCAACCCCTTCTCACAGCCATCTCTGTCCATGAAGGAGTTCCCAATGAAATGACAACAGGATCTTAAGAAATAAAGAGGACAGTGAGCAAAAAGCACCAGCATCTTACCTCATCCCCGCTCTCACTCATGTTGGTCCCCAATTTCTGGACAACAGTCTGGTCACTCTTCTTTAGCAATTTTTCTCGAACTTTGGTTTCATACTCAGGCCGGGAGTGTTCCTAAAACCCAAGAGTCAAAGAGTAGTTAGTAAACAGGCAGAATAGCAATCTTGGCCTGTGGGTTATAACCAGATACCACAAGTACAGTAAAGTCAGGACTTAGGATCAGATTCTATTGGACATAAGCTGCCACACCACATATAATCACGAGGAGTCTAGACCAGGAACACAATGTGGGAGAGAAAGGGGACACACAACAGTTACCACACTGAAAATAACCAAACCTGGGCACGTTCCTGAGGATGGCACCAGTGTTGAGAAAGGAGAGAGGAAATGTTAACTTGTCAGCTGATACAAAGAGAAGCCACATGCTTTGCATAGCAGTTTGACCAAAGCCAGAGGGATGCATCTGTTCATCCCACCAACTATCTGCATACCTCAAACTTTGTTTCAATGAGCCAGATCCCAGCTGGAGAAACAGATGTGCCCCACAGCTGGGAGTTAGGGCAACGACAAAACTTCCTCCCTGCTCCATTATTCTATAAGCTAAAATGGCGACTAATAAAAATCAAAGTTAAAGGTGGCCATGGGGAATCTTAAAACTCACTTGCCTGGGCCTGTTTCCTGTACAGCCTAAGTGATTAACTCATTGGCAAGTACACCAGTGCTCAAGAGACATCACTGAGCCATTCAGCAATACAAATACGAATGGTGAGTCACCAGGCATGGGAAAGCACACCTAACTAATCAAGAAGACCATGGTCAAATCAAGTCAGATGCTGGAGCAGGAAGACACATGACTGACTTCAAAAAGAATTTAACTGTGCACACCTGGACTCATTGGCAGGTCTTCCCCGAAGCATCCAAGGACAAATAACTACAGGTGTGAGGACTTCATGTTCCTGTATCATTTAAAAATAACTCCTAGGCAGGGATTATAACTCCATCAGAGATTCCAGAAGCCAACAAGCTAGGCTCCTGGCCTGTCTTTGGCTTTTCCAAGATGTGCCATGATGTTGGAGAGGAGAAGGCATGCGTGTGACTAATAAACATAACCAATACAACAGGAGATGATGCTATGTAAGTGTTTTTATGGCTCACCATCATCAACTAATCTCTGAGGAACAACCAAACCCAAGAGTCACCTCCTGGATCAGTGCAACTTCTTTTTTTTAAAATATATATTTTATTGATTTTTTACAGAGAGGAAGGGAGAGGAATAGAGAGTTAGAAACATTGATGAGAGAGAAACATCGATCAGTTGCCTCTGATCGATGTGCCCACAACCAAGGTGTATGTCCTTGACTGGAATCAAACCTGGGACCTTTCAGTCCGCAGGCCAATGCTCTATCCCAGTGGTCGGCAAACCGCGGCTTGTGAGCCGCATGCGGCTCACAAGCCGCGGTTTGCCGACCACGGGGTTAGGGCATGGATCAGTGCAACTTCTGCCTAAGAGGCCTCCTTGTGGAACCAGCTGGACACCATAAAGACTTGTTGAAAGACTTCTTTGGGTCCTGTTTGTACTTGTTGAAGGGAGACCCGCCAGACTCAAGAGACTTTTGCTCAAAAGTGGGGCAATCTTCAGCTCAGTGAGCCTCTCTTGTCCAATTAACTTCTTTCAGTCAGGCCCTAGGTGCTCCTAGGACATCTTAGTGTGTGTGGCCTCATATGAACACTCTATCCTCTCTGAAGGCAGAACCCATATATATATTTTCTCATTTGTCATAGAATCTATGATGCTGTTAGTCCCAGGGCATATGCTTAATACAAAGGACTGTATAGATAGAATGAGCATATGTACTCAATACATTACCATGCCCATATGCTCAAATGCAAGCTGACTAATTAGAGCAAGGAAGAAGAAACCACACCACAGACATGGAGAGCCACATAGGCTCCAGAACAAGACTATATTGGAGATTTCACTTGCTTGGACATAAAAGATCAGGGCCACAAAGTCAGAGGTCCTGTGCCCAAGGCAAGGCCCATCAGTTACTGTAGGAGAGTGTGGAAAAGGCCTACTCTCCATGTAGCTGCCATATTGCTTATGATATCTTTAGCAAGTGGGTACTTAGGCACTTGGAAGTGCCTCTGGTCCTTCTAGCCACTGTCCCCAGCACTGCATCCAGAAGTGTCCACAATATGGGGAGAACCTATCTGATATTCACATTTGCTCTTCAGTCAATGTGGGAATAGATAACTGTGAGCAACCATGTCACACTGTTCCTTATCAACTCACCAACATCAAGACTGGGCCCCTAGTTCTCAAAAGAGCCTGGAGGAAAGGCTCATTTGTTTCCATCCTTTAATTACAGGATGAAGCAAGGGTAGGTTTACAGTTATTTGTATGGAATATAATGCAATAATTAGTAAATAATAATAATACAAGAATAAACTCTGATTCATATACTCACAACTGTAAAACCATTTTTGCCCAACCCTGTAAGAACCTATCCTTAGCTCATGCTTCAGTTCACATGGTGTACTGACTTACGTTGTAAAGGTCTAGGGGTTTTCTTCTTCCGTGGGCATCAAAGACAACCAGCATCCAGCACCCATGCCTCTCCCTTGACCCTCAGAAGGCTTAGAGAGGCATTCTGATATTTCCTGCTCTGGAAGCAGTTCCTATTTTCTTGATTTATGCTCACTAGAACCAATGATATGAGATGTAGAAGTATATTGAATGACATCTCAAGGTTACCACAAGGCCTGCCTCTTGTGCCATCTCTTTTCCAGAGAGGAACACTGGGATATCAGGCTACCTACCAGGACCAATGTCTTACAGCTCAAGAGTAGAGAGGGAATTGAAATTTTTAGTCTCAGTGCATATCAATCATGGCTTAGCCCATAAAGTCAAGCTAGAAGAGCTGCCACAGTGAGACCTGGCCAGTGACTGGCTGATATGACAGTGCACGTAAGTGGTCATCTCATTCAAAATGGTCTATTTATAGCATCAAAGCAAAGCAAGGACCCAGAGAAGCATGCAAAAGAACTCACTTCTTCCTCTTCTATACCAGTCAGGTCCCAGAAGTAGCCCAATCGCATCTGCAATCGCTTCCAGTTTTCGAGAAACATGGTAGCTTAAAAGGAAAGAAAAAAATCTGTCAATTTTGAAGAATGGATTTTTGAGTACTCGTTGGATTCACCAATGGTGGTGAAAAATAAACTTATAAAATTCAAATTTAGGAGCTTTCTTTAAATCTTTTATTTCCTTCCTCCTACTTCTATCTTGAAATGCTCTAAATATTGCACATACAGCCGAGTAGATACACACACACACACACACACACACACACATTTTTCCCCACTTCTAGGTTATAAGAAGAGGGTAAACATTGATCTCAAGAAGTGAGGAAGGATGGCAGAATAAAGAAAATAAGAATGAAAGAGTTTGTAGTCATTTTCTGACAAACTTCATTGTGTCTATGAATACATTCTTTCTTCCTATATCTTCCTCAACACTCTCACTTTCTTTTCTCCATTTTTTTTGTCCCCTGCACCACTTCCCTTCTGTGGGCCTTAATACTCACAATTCTGAGATTATGTAAGAGTCTCCTAATAGTTCTACCTAACTCCAGAGTCTCAACCCATCTTGCATGCAGCTGATAGACTAATCTCCCTTAAGTGACACTCATTCATTCATCCATTTCTTAGCCAATATTTGTTGAATGCCTACCACATATACACATCAGTCAGTCTGCCTGCTCCGACCACAGCCCCCTTGAAGGGCCAGCCCAGTATGCTCCAGAAAGACCAACACCCTCTACTCCACAGCCATGGTCTATAATACCAGGATTGAGCTTCTGATCTAGAGCCTGCCAATGGACCAGATTCCCACTTTTGAAAACTGAAACCAAGAAACACAAAGAGAAGCCGAGATGGCATAAACCAAGCAGCACCTGAAAGAAGGAGAAAGGGCTGTGGTTTCTGATAGCAACTCCAGCTCCAGTTCCCCAATGACCTGGCTATATTTCCTGCATCCATGAACTTGCTTCTTGCCTTATTAAATAAATCTCTTGTTATTTGAGAGAACTTGAATGAATTTTTAATCCTGAAAAAAGAAGTAGGCCCAGCTAAGGTATCTGCAGCACAAAACACTGTTCTGGGCATCATGAAGGAGATGAGATGACTCTGGTGTAGATTTTGCTCTCAGGATGTTTAGAGTCTATGTGGGGAGGTTATAAATAACTACAATATAAGGCATACAGTGACTAGTCCTTAAGAAGGATACAGATAAAATGCTGTGGGCATTCAGGAGAGGGAGTACTAGCTGCCAGAGAAGCCATCTGAGCTGAGTCTTGAAGAACAATAGCATTCAGGCAGTAAAGAAGATGTGGAGAGAGGAAGGATGCCGATATCCCCCCATTCCTCACCCCTGCTGAAACTTTCAGTGGCTATTTATGGCCTAAGTTCTCTCTGGATACTGGAACCCTGTATATCTGGCCAGAATGACCTAAATCAATTCCCACCATTTGTCAACGTACACCTTATACCTGCATTGCTGCTGACACCATCTCCTCCCTGTCCTCTTCATTCCTAACTTGTGCAAATTGTCCCCATCTCCTGTGCTACCCACCAATGTCTACCCTCATCCTTTCCTGACCAGCTCAAGTCCCACTTCTTTCATAAGATCAAGCTCAAGGGCACCCTCTCCTCCACACTCCTACTGCCCTTAAGGTCTGCTGCCCTGGAAAGGGAAGGAATATGGCCCTCCTTGAAGCCACCCATACACCTCTACACATGATAAGAATCTGGGTGCCCTTCACTGCATGTTGTGCTGGACTGTTGGCTGCCATTCAGGTCTATAGTGTAGTAACAGATCTGTAAACTCTTTCTTGGCTCCAAGATACCTGTTTTCCTTGGACACAGCACAGAAGTGAGCATAACAAACACCATGGACTGGTTAAATATACCATTACTTAAAGCTTCATTTGCTTTACTTGGTACAATATGACAGTGCACTGATCTATATGTTTTCTCCTAGGACTAGCGGATGTTTCATGTAAGTGCATCCTGACCTCCCAACACTGGCATCACCCTGGGGGATGCAATGAGACCAAGGAGGATGTCACTCCTTTTCCTATACTCTTCTCAGTGTCTGAGGAGAGTTCTGCAAGGTCCATGAAGGACAGAAGTCAGACAGGGGGAACGGGCAAGAGAAACAAAAGAGTCATTGAAAGAGGAGCCATGAGGACAAGGGAGGGCCAAACACCGATGAAGAGCTGCTCACAGTTCCTGGTACATATTATGTGCCAGGCACTGTGCTAAGTGCTTTGTACACACATCTCACTCACTAGTCACAGAAAATTATGGGACAGGTATTACTTCACCCATTTTACAGATGAGGACAATGATGCTCAAGGGTTAAGTATTGTGCCCCAGGTTACATTGGACCTTGGGTATTGACTTCACTGACACAACGCTAGATTCACATTGGATGGCTATGGGAGCCACACATTAGGCAGTCCCCTAAGTCACAAAAAGAGTTTATAAGCCCTGTCCCTTTTCTTTTCAATAGGGCTTCACTCTTTTTCCAAAGTTCCCGGAGTTTGAGGCCAGAACAGCAGAGGGGCTAGGCCCAAAGACTCCAACAGACCCAGGTCTCCCTGTCTAGTACCTTCTATGAATCCTCTGTCTCAGCAATCCCCTCTCCCTTTCCACAATAGTCTGAGTCTCTTCCTGTGGAGAACCACTTTTTCTTCCCAGCCTTATTCTTGGCAGGCCTGGGCCCTGGCCCAGGCCCACCCAGCAAAGCACCACTGATCATAATAATCATGGTAACAAGAGGCATTACTATGATTTTTAATTGTAACATGTAGGTAATCATGCCCAGGGGCTCTTGGCTGCTGTTACCAAATATACAATCACATAAAACATAGCAAGGCTGTTAAAAAAATAAAACCAAACTCTACCTTTTGCCAGGAAGCTCTAACACAATCTCACCCTTTTTGCTTTCCCTACACTGCTATCTGAGAGGAAGAGAGAGGAGCCAGGGATGAGGTAGTAAATTATTAGGCTCTCCGGAGGGGTGGGGGGTATTTGTTCATTACAGCTATTGAGAGAGAAGAGGCAGTTGTTGGGGCTTGAAAGTGGGCAAGTAAAAATGAAAACCAAGTTCCTCTACAACAAGGAATTAAGCAGCTCATCAAAGTTCTTAAGGATCATGGACCCAGTGTTACTAAGCTACATCTATTTGATCATCGTAATATCTGCAAGACAACTTAATGGCATTAGGATTGCAATATATCAAAATATGAATGCATATTCTGAGTTCCAAGTCAGTTCAAGTGGATTTCTGAGTAATTACAAGATGCCCTTGCTGGATGAGGAGACAGAACTGCCTGACTTCCCAGGTAACAAACTTCAACTTCAGTCTGTTTTACTGACCATTCCTGTGAACATTTTCAGAGCTTTATGGTCACAAGTGCCATTTCCTCCTGCCTCATTCTCATGAACTGACCACTGTTCTCCCTGAAAGTAGAATGGCCCTGGAAATTGTCCTTGATGGCCTACGAATATGGAAATCTTTCTAGTCTGATTCTATCTCCACCCAAGTAGAGGTCCCTACAGGGAATGGAAGACAGTTGTTCCCACCACTGCTGAGAACAGACTTCTCTCTGTCTCCTCCTCACACTTTCAGAGGTGTGACTCATGGTCCCATCCTGGTAGGTCCTCCAGGTCCCATAGAGTCAGTGATAAATCAAACAGCCTCTGTAGAAGTCGCATGGCCCTGCTGGTCTGTGATCCAGTGGGAAAGCTAAGGGCTTGTACATCCATGATGAGTAAAAAGCAGGTGGCTACTCAAGATGGGCTGAAACATGTCAACTTAGTCTCTTTTTTTAATACATGTGGGTGTGCCTTCTTGGAAATGCTCAATTACCACAAGGTTGTTATTCCAAGTTATCCCAGTTTGTAAAAATACAAGTGTCTGTGTGTGTGTGTGTGTGTGTGTGTGTGTGTGTGTGTGTTGTCAGATGGCTATGGCTTAGAGAAAGTTTATTACCCTGATACTCTGGGATGGGAGGGGCAGAAAGGAGGAGAAAGACAATGAAGGAACTCTTTGTTCTTTCCTTCACAAATCCCTTCACAAAGTGGAATATTGAAAACACCACTGTGGTATTAAGTAAAATCTCTACAGTCTATACTCATGGTATCCTAGAAATTACACTGAACCTGGAGTCAGGAGACCAGGTTTAGGCCCTTTACAACCAACTAACTCTGTGACCATGGCCATGATCCCACCACTCTATTTTGGGTGATAGCTATGACTTTATATGTCTTAGATGTTCCTAGAGGTGCATTATGGCTGTGCTAGGGGTTTTCAAAATATTCACTGGTTCAAATTCTGAATAAATCATACATGTGACTAATACAAGGTTAATATTACTGTATTTAAAAAAACATATATATCGTGTAGATGTACCACAGTTTTCTAATCCATTCATCTACTGATGGGCACTTAGGCTGTTTCCAGATCTTAGCTATGGTGAATGTGTGTGTGTGTGTGTGTGTGTGTGTGTGTGTGTGTGTTGTCAGATGGCTATGGCTTAGAGAAAGTTTATTACCCTGATACTCTGGGATGGGAGGGGCAGAAAGGAGGAGAAAGACAATGAAGGAACTCTTTGTTCTTTCCTTCACAAATCCCTTCACAAAGTGGAATATTGAAAACACCACTGTGGTATTAAGTAAAATCTCTACAGTCTATACTCATGGTATCCTAGAAATTACACTGAACCTGGAGTCAGGAGACCAGGTTTAGGCCCTTTACAACCAACTAACTCTGTGACCATGGCCATGATCCCACCACTCTATTTTGGGTGATAGCTATGACTTCATATGTCTTAGATGTTCCTAGAGGTGCATTATGGCTGTGCTAGGGGTTTTCAAAATATTCACTGGTTCAAATTCTGAATAAATCATACATGTGACTAACACAAGGTTAATATTACTGTATTTAAAAAAACATATATATATATATCCATGATAATATCCTTAGTTCTATTTACATTTATGAGTAAAAGAAGTAAACCTATTATCCCTAAAATACTTCTTGAGATACAAGGACTAAATGCTAAAAGAAGTAAACTGAAGGATATGGCCATTAGAGCATAGTCACTGTACCCATTTCAAGGTACCACTCATATAAGCGAGCCTCATGATAACCACTTACCCCACAGAGCCATGAAGATGGAGAAGAAGACAGTGGCAGGATTGTCAAACAGGTGGCTGGCCCGCGCTGTACCACAGGCTGAGCTGAGGTTCCAGTAATCACAGGACTTGTCACACAGGGGACACATGGTGAAGGCATTCTGCTGGTCACACATCTCTTTGCTGCAGTAGACAGAGGCTACTGGGTCAGATGGAGCTCACACAGGATCCACCCCAAACAAATCACCCCCAGGACATCTCCCACTTCTGAATCCATGGCTGATCTTATCAACGACATACACGAGGTGTGTTAAAGAAGGTGGGATTGGATTTTGCACTTTGAGAGTGTTGTTCTTATGTTTTGTCCAAAAAAATAAATGGGCCACCTTTTGAGATATGGAGCCCCCACCATTAGAAATGCCCCAACAGAAAGTTAGTGATCATCTGTCAAAGATGTACACTGAAAGATGGCTTATAAAACCCCCTTCAAAATGTGTGGAGTGTATGAGGTTGATGGAAAGCACCAACAACTGTGAATAAATCACCCGCCTGAAGTTAGATTTCATCATCATTCAAGCATAGACTGTCTTCAGATCTGGATTGGAAGCCTTTTTCTTAGTACATCCGCATTTGTAGAATGGGGATTAATAACCTCAACCTAATAAAAATTATCATGACCATGAAATGGGATTAGGGGAAATGAAAGAATGAGGTAAATTTTTCCAAAGTCTAGATTCTATGATCTTCAAGAGAGAAGCATGAGTCAAATAACCATCGCCTATATTCTAACCGATTCTCAGTACATTTCTATTTAATGGACTGATGAATACATTTGAAATTCCATTCCTTCATTAGGTGATTAGCTGAATCCAATAAACTTAGGCTACTATGAGTGCTTATAAATAAGAACCAAGGAACTACCAGCCCTAACTGGCCTCCTAATATCTCTCCACACCATATATTGGCAGGAAAAGTAATGAACTTATCATTCTGGTGTGTAATAGTCCTCCTGGGGATGGGTAGAGGGTTGGGCTTTTGGTTGGGAGGAAAATGGTGGAGAACTCAAGATTTCATGAAAATGAAGCATTGAGGTGGTAGGGGATCCTACACTGGAAACCGCAGCTATGTTTTCTCCAGAAAGAGGCAGCAGAGGGAGCTGCAGAGCATGGCTGGCAAGTGGGAGGCCACTGCCAGGGTGAATAAGCTGGTACCCTGTGTGCTAAACAAGTGCTTAGATTTAACCCAGAAGTCAAGGGATGCCTGGATCTACTTTTCCTTTATTAAGAAGTTGAAGGGTTTAACTGAGGGCTGTCACTGTCTGTCAAATGCCAGCTTTCAAGCTCGTTTTTAATAAGCTATCAAGTCCACAGCAGGGAAAGGCCCTTGTGTGAGAGAATGGAAACTCTAGGTCTCCGAGGATAAACCCTGGTTCCTCCACTGACTTGCTGCTAAGCTCTCCATTGGCAAGTGTCAATAGCAGTGACTCATTCACATCGACAACATTAAAGAGTAACATCTCGTTAATAAGTTCAGCTGTGCTAGCTTCACCTGGGCACATTCTTATTGTTCACTGGAGAGCCTGGTTTATTTCAAGTCTTCTGGGTCAGATAAGTGTTCGCTGCGTAGTTGAGAAGGAGTTGCTGTTTTCAGAGAGGAGAGGACCCTCTTGGAAAACAAATTCACACAGAAAATTGTTGGTCTGTATAAATTCTAGTAAAGCGCTGTGCTTTGAAGCTGTGTCTGGGAACATCTGAGTAGAGACTTTGTTCTTCAGGGGATTTTTACACATAGGTTGCGGGGGAGGGATAACCCTAGTCAGCCTAATCTTAATCAAATCTAGTCGGGGCTAAAAAGTCAGGAATGAAAAAGTATTAGCAACCAACTTGGTGCAAAGAATTTTGAAACTTAAGTGCTATGTAAATTACTGGTTTTAAAATTAGAGTACAGTCAAGTATCAATCATTTGTACAAAATTGTAGCCAGTGTAGCACAGATACTCCCCATATCATTTAAATTGAAAGTCAGATGTTTTGTAGGTATTGATGGTTGCTTTTGGTTTTTGTTTTTGGATGAAAGCAATTTGAACAGAATTCTGAAGAAATTCTACCTCAGGAGGACATTCGAATGACTGAATTCTCTAAAAAAGCTGAAAGATGAGAGAAACTCACCTAGAATTGGAATCATGTCTAGATTATTCACTGGCTGCATAATCTACAGATTCCTAGTAATAAGTAACTGTGGCTATAAATCTAATAGTGTATTTCTTCAATCTATCATTTTCTCTAGAAAGCATAGGTTGATAAAAACCCAGCCTGAGTGGTGTTCTCAATGAGTGACTCATGGCTTACAGGTTAGGTGGTACAGGACTGTGCTAGCAGAAAGAGAGGAGGTGCAATGAGGCAATTATTCAGACAGAACATCTGTTATTAAGGTTCAGACCTAAAGTAACCATTTTTTTTTTCAATATGGTTTAGATTAATCTGCTTTTTAAAAATGCTCCAGTCTTTCCTACCCATGTAAGCAAATGCCTAACAAATGGGACCAATCCATTGGTGAGCAGAGGAAAGTTCTATAGATGTATCATGCACATATGGAATTATTACTTACAAATGATACTTGTATCTCACATATCAAAGTTATTGGCAATAAAAGGTACCATTTAAAGTTCCACGTAATGTAAATTTTCTGGTTTTGATTTTGTACTGTAGTTATACAAGACATAATCATCAGGGGAAATCGGGCAAAGGGTACATTGCACCGCTCAGTACTATCTTGGCAACTTCCTGAATCTACAATGTGTTCAAAATAAAAAGATTTTTAAAAATGATACATAGGTAGTAAGTTCCCAGCTTAATGCCAAAATTAGAAACCTCTGAAATAACCTCAGGAATAGTGCAAGTTTTTAATTATGCTTAGGAGTGGCTGGTAGACACAAAGTCTGAAAAAAATGTGAATTTATTTAGATTTAGTATTGGGGTTTGGAGGCCATTCCTTTGTTGATAGGAGTGATATTTTGTGAATTTCCATCAGGCCCACAGAGCTTGGACTTTTGGTGGGTATACAATTCTGATTTAAGAACGGTTCTTTAAAAAAATCTTCACAATATGATTAATTTTTTCTATCATTTATACCTTCTTGGTTTGTCATGTCCTATCATGAATCTGAAAAATTGACAATCAAAATTTCAATTTTTAAGAGTCAATCTCAAACTTTTTGACTATGACCTACAGTTTGAAAGTATTTTACATCATATTCCAGTAGGGAAAAAAATGTACATACCTTATAAACATACTCATATATCTAAATAAAGTCTCATGGAACAATACTTATACCTTCTTTTGTGATGAATACTAATATTATATATCATTCTACTCTATCTTATCTTATTCTAGTTCACTTAAAAGATAACCATTAAATTGCTTCCATAACTCACGAATGGGATGCTACCCATGGTTTTTAAAACATCGTACACTCTGATAGGCAATATGATACATCTACAATTATAATAATCACATTTCACATGCCTACACATCTGTACATATATGAGTGTGTGCATGTGCATAGATATGTGTCTTTGCAGCATGTACAGATGATAGTCAATTCCAGCTGCAATGGTCACTGTCATATGTATTCCCATATGGGCACAAGTTCTAAGTCCTGATGTAAACCAGCATACTGATGCCCCACCCATTATACTGGCATTGGTTCTTTAAGCACTGTATAGAGATTTCTAGTTTTGATCAACCTGGAGTTCAGCTCTCTAGGGATCACAACTGAGCAAGAGAAGCATGGAATCTGTGTTTTCTGAGAATGCATCAGACAAGGCCAGTTGAAGTTCTTGGCTGGCAGGGAGAATATGAGCTCTCTGGAAGACTTCACAGCTTATTGGAAAAAGCAAAACTTTGGAGCAGCAGAAGGCCAAATCTCAACCCTGACAATTAGTAGTTGTTGAAGTTGAACAAGTTATATGACCTCATTTATTGTCAATTTCTCCAACTCTGTTAGGTCAAAATAATAACTACCTTATACAGAGTTTACAATGTTGATTTCTACAGCATCAAAGAAACTAGTGCATAAAACCACCTAGCACCATGCCTGGCACAAGTCGGTATTTGGTAAGTATTGGTTCTTCCCTGATGCCAGAGGGCAAAGAAAGTAATCACTATTTTTAAGTGCTTACTTTCTTTGTAGGCTTTCTCTTCCTCATAAGGACTAGACTTTGTGCCATTTCTTGGTTCTCCAAGAGCCCCACCATGAGAACTGTCACTGCCTGTAGTTTCCAACTCCTGAACCAGAGGCTGAGCCTTCCTCAGTTCCAGAGCTGCCTGCTTCTACAGTCTCACAGCATTTTATTCCAACAGTGTTTAACCGAAAGACATGTGATCTCTACCCAATACCACTCAATACTTCCTGCCTTGGATCTTATGGGAAAATATGGGGGCGGGGAAAGTGAATCATGAAGTTAAGGAAAGCATTTCTCAGGCACAATTTTTTCATCAGGCTTTATCCACCTGTCCAAATCAGACCTGGCTCTGGAGAAGAGCTTTAGTAGGAAAGAATGTGGGTCACGCCCAGCATGGCTATGAAGCCATTCCCAGAATCTGTAGCTCCCAGATCTGGCTCTGGAGAAAAGTTGTGTGTGTAGTAAGGGAAGAAGAAGGATAGAGGGTGAGGACTTTGGAAGGAGATGTGTGAAATGTACTTGAAACTAAGATGAAACTCCAAACTACTAACATGGGAATTGAGCCTTTTTCTTTAAAATTGTCTTACCTGGGAATATCTTCTTCAATTGTTGCACATCCATAAAGAAACACAATCACACCAATTATAGAAGATGGGATGAGGAATGATGTATATAATCCCAGCCAAGCAAAATACAGTCCAATTTTTTCTCCAAAATACTTTCTGGAAAATAAGTTATAACACATATTAAGAACATCATAGATGGAAAATGCATTCTCCGGTGAGGATTAGCAAAACAAACAAACAAACCAAAAAGAACATCATATACTTGCCTCATTTCTGTTTGTTCTAAACCTGACAATGGGTCAGCATAAATAAAGAGGAATGGAAGTTACATGAGGAAAGGGGGACCTCAGCACAAGGAATCAGCAACTGGTCTTTTGTGAAATGAATTACATTTCATTGGAATAACATATACACACCTGTCCTGGCTGATCATATGAAATATCTACAAGAAGAAATTCAGCCCTAACAACAAACAAAAAATACTCCATAAATTTTAGCATCTTCACCAAACAAACATGAATAACACATCATCATTTCATCAGTGCCATGAAACCCACAGAAAAACACTTTTTGGAACTAGCTTATGTAAACAACACACACAAATTATATACTTGAGGATGTACACTTATGTACAAATATTAACATAAACATATTCACAGAAAAATGATTAGAATAAATTTGATTAAATAGTAGTAATATTTTATTTGGCTAATAAAATTATGGGTGGTTTTTTATTTCTTTGGTTTTATAACTTCCTGTATTTTTAATTCTCTACTTATTAATGAATTACTCTTATCATTTTAAAAAATGATACATTTAAAAGAAAATTTGCCAACCCATATCTTTTTTTTTTATCCCCAGCTCATAAAGTTAGTAAATTATCACACTAAGCCTCTAAAAAGAGTTTTTCCCTTAAATAAATATTGGTTATGGACACTTGATGAGAAAAATATAATCCACAGAGGAGCAGAGTATTTTATTTCTCAAGAGACTCTGACATAAAATCCAGGAGGCAAATGGGAGCTCAGCCCACTCTGTGATGGAAGCTTGAAGATTGAGAAGAACAGTGAACAGTCTCTTGATCCACTACCAGTGGGGCTGCTCTCAGTTAGGATGCAGACAACTGAGAGAAAATGTAGCATCCACCCTAACAAAAAGAGAAATGTGCATAATCCGTGAAATCAGAACTTTTTTTTAATCCATCAGAAAGTGGAAGCTGAAAGAAACCAGGTGAACTAAATTTTAAAGAGAGAGAGAAGCCCCTCCAAGGAAAAGTGAGACATAAACAGCTTCACATTTGGCAGAGCCTGGGAGGAGTCGTCTTCATAAGCATGAGTAAGAAGAAATAGAGAGAAAAATGTTAACTTCTGGAAGGCTGAGTGTATGTTAGCCTACAGGTTAGAATAACTCGGAGCTCCAGACACAAGATGAGTTTGCACTCATTCATAAGATCCTATCCAACGACCACCACCCAGTGGTCATGAGGTGGATAATGGGCAAGGTAGGAAAATGGGGAGAGCTCCTTTAGTTCCACACAGCCATAAAAGCCCACCCATCTCCCAGGACCACCTCCCATTCAGATAAAAAACCTAAAGCACTGAATAATAAGGTCAGCAGTCTGCTGCTGGGGGAGGGCCAGAAGGCACACCCCTCTGTGGTAAAGGGCTGCTGAAAGCTGAGGGTTTCGGGAACAACGAGAACAAATTCTCAGCCCTCCAGGGCCCACACAAAGTATATGGTAATAGCATCCCATGGAAGAAGAAATTTGAAATCTGTGGTCCAGTGAAGGTGATGTTAGCAATGGCAAAATCCAAATCTAGCTCATTCTCTGACTATATTGACTCCAATTATGTTTGAAAAAAGAAACCCAAATGACTGATAAACATATAAAAAGGTACTCAACTGCCTTAATCATCAGATCATCAGATAAATGCAAATAAAATCACAATGCAATACCTCTGCATATTTGTGAATATGGCAAAATGAGAAAGAAGAAAATACCAAGTATTGGCCAAATGTGGAGAAACCAGGACACTCATATGGTGCTGGTGGGATGTATACATATTGAATCACTTAGGAAAAACTGCTTAGTGGTATCTACTAACAGCTGATCCAACAACTCTACTCCTAAGTATATGCCAAATAGGACTGAATATATGTGCATCAAAAGATATACATAAGAATATTCACAGCAGCACTATTTATAATAGCCTCAAACTAGAAACTACCCAAATGCCTATAAATAACAGAATGGATAAATATATATTGTGACATACTTGCCCATGAAAATGAACAAATTACAGGAATTCCCAACAATATGGACAAATATCACAAACATAATGCTGAACAAAAGTAAGCCAGACGCTACAGAATGTATATACTGTATTTATCTATATGAAGTTCAAAAACAAAATAACTGTGCTAGAAGTCCAGATAGTAGTTAGCCTTAGGAAGGCAGTGACTAGAAGGGAGTTAGTAGGGTAAGTAGGGGACCTTTGGGGTACTAAAAATGTTTTTCTTTGATCTGGGTACTTGTTGTATGGGTGTGTTCACTTTGCAAAAATTCAGCAAGCTGTACATTTATTGTATGTACACCTTTGTGTATGTATAGTATACTTTTATTTTAAAGTGGTTTTAAAACGATATCACATGTGCTATAATCTGCAGGCCAACAGATTCCCTGGAGATCATTTGTCTTCAAGTCAGACGGCATTTAATCCATGTCAGACATACATATCTTTCAGGCCCAGTCTGTCACCAGACCTCAAGAGGAGTTTTCACCTGAATGAAGCACAAAGACCAGGCTAACAAAAGACAAGGCTTCCAGAGCACAGAGGCCAGCCCTGAAATGCAAGGTTGGCATTTGATCAGGCAGCCCAAGGCAGTGATGGAGGCCGAAGGATGTCTGCACCATTCCCAAGTGATCAGGTCAGAAGTTGAGCAAGAGATGATTAGCATGGAGCAGACGTGCCAGCAGGGCATGTTCCACGGGAGCCGGCCCTGTCAGCTGGAGAAGGGAACTTCTGTTCTCAACTCCTGCCAAGCCCACATCACCTTCCTTTCTGGTCTCACAAAAAGCTGTCAGGCTTTCCTGGCCCTTCAGGGGATGGATTAAAGGCAAACAGATTTGGGTGCCCTTAGCAGCATTATGGGCAAGTGCCCAAAGAGAAAGTGCTGAGCCTTTAATTAAAGTTCACCGTGGTTGATTCTCTGAAAGACAGCCTGGAATTTCCCAGCTACAGACAGAGCCAGGCAAGCCAGCAAAGGCTCTCCTGGGTGAAACCAGGAGATGGGGGCCAACGTGGATGAAATAGTCAATTCAAGGCTCAAGTTCCCTGTCAGAATGGTCTCCCCCAGCTGAAGGCTGTCCCCACCACCATTCCCTTTACAAGGTGGTATCCAGCTGAGGAAAAAGTGTGTATACCCTTCTGATGGCAGAGGAGAGGGAAATTCCTGGGGCACTGGTCAAAACCCCAATTTCATTCTCTCCTGCTGTCCCCCATTTGGGCTTTGCTCCAATTCCTTGGCCTCTTATGTTCCTCGTACACATCACATCTGCTCTCACCTCAGGGCCCTTGCTATGACTGTGCCCTCTGCCTGGAACACTCCTTCCTCCGGCCTCACACTCACTTCCTCAGTCTCTTCTCCAACATCACCTCCTCAGAAAGGCCTTCTTTAATCACCCCCTCCCAAACGTCTCCTAACCTCTCACCTTGCTTCATTTTTTTTCATAACACTTACCATTACCTAGCATTGTTTTCTAAATGTGTTGGTGTTTTTGTCCATTTCTCCTGCTAGAATGTGAGCTCCATGAGAGCAGACACTTCTTCTCTCCTATTCGCTATTGTGCCTAGAATATGCCTGGGACATAGCAGTGACTTAATAAGCATTTGTTTAATGGATGGCTGAATCCTCACAATAACACCCATCATGGGGTTACTAGGCCTGTCTCTCTTCTATGTAGAGGGTGAGCACAGCTCAGAGAAGTTGAGTAACTTGTGTAAGGTCACACAGCAAACATGATAGAATCCAGACTCCAATTCTGAGCTGCCTGATTTCAAGCCTATACTTTACCCATGACATGTGTCTCTTCGGTCACAGAGTAGATGATTATGCAGATTTCAGCCTCCCAGTTTGCAAAGTATTATGAATTGTTTTCAATTTTAGTAGAAAACTGAAAAGAACCCTATCGATCATCCAAAACTAAACTCTCCATTCAGTGATTTACAAAATCCTATAGCCCTCAGAAGCTCATTCACATCAGAAAAGGCAGTCACGGCATGTGTTCCAATTTCTATTTGTTAAATAAGCAATACATAAAATGATTATTTAGACAGTTTCTGTTTATTAATGAGCAGCATGAGAGCTTCCAAGTACACATCAGATGGTGATTAGAGACACATGCTCATGGCTAGTCCCCCAATCATTTATCACCCAGTGGTTTTGGCCATTTTACATTGTTTTCATTTTCATTCTTAAATATTGTTTGGTGTTCTTTGGGTTTGTGTGTGTTTTTTTTAACTCACAACCAATCTTTAAATAAAGATGGAAACATAAAGAACATCAGTGGTGAAATATAGCATGTCAATGAGAGCATAAAAATGGCAAGAAAGAATTAGATAAATTTGCCTCAATGATATTCACACAGATCTATAACTGCATACAACTGATTAATTTATTATAGGATGTATAAAGATATGTCATTACCAAAAACCAATGTTAAAAGAGGGGGTGTTATATCCAATTGGCTTCTTAGTTATTGGGAGTTAAAGATTGTCCCCAACTACTATGTATAATCGGCAGAAAAATACTTGCAAATATAGCCTAAAACCTTTAGGTCGTCATTTAGGAATGAAGGATAAATATTAGCTAATAAACCAGCTAAATTTTTCACTCAAACTACAAATATGCCAAATTTCAGAACATAAAAGTGTGTGTTTTTCTATTTTGAAACTATAATATGATGGTAAATTTTAATCTAAGTTTTTATATATATCATTACCCAAATCAAAGATGACATTCCGCTGTTTAAAAATGTATTTGCTGGAACATATTTTCTTATACAATTTAATATAATAACATAAACAGTGTGTGCCACCTCTGTTAAAAATGGAAAGGATAAACTTGTCTTTATGTATGAATAATATTATAAAAGA